TCACTTGTATGCATTGGAAGAATCTGCCTTTTCAAATTTAGAAACATGCCTGACCAGAACTCCAGGAGCTAGATAGTCTGCTGTCGTCTCTGCCATATCCTTTCCTAGTGTTCAACATCTTCAATGCTCTAGAGGTCTTGGTTCAAACCCCAAAGATCACAAGAAATTAAATCGAGCAACTTCCACATTAACCCAGAACCAATTGCTTATCTGCTGCTCTCAAATCTATGCATTTCTTAAAGTACTTCAAGCATTTATTTAACAAAAAAGAGTGAAAAGCCTAACACTTTTAAAGAACTAATAATGAAATACTTGGATGTTTACAGTAATTACTTACAGATCAGTTTCACTCAGGTATGTTATTTTTAAACATCCTTTAAAATTGGAATCAGATTTCACTCTCTTGAATTCCTATTTTGTGTATCACAGCTGTCAGCCACAACCCAAAAGGCATCATTTTCCTTGGTAAGGCAAATATACACAGAGACCATGATTCTATTGCCAGATTTGATGTTTCATCGTTTGGTTCTCATCTCCACAACTGACAGAGATGATGTTATGATAAGCCAGAATAGATGCCAGCTGCAAGTTATTCTCAGCACAGACGTCAGACTACATTGTAGTGTATATTCTATGTGGTATTGTTTACAGTTACTAAAGCTTTCCTTTGATTCTGAGTGTCCCATATGGTCAGGAAAAGAATCTATTCTCCACAAAACTCCTACCCCTATGGAAGGGAAAGAATGAGAAGTTCTGTGAGATGCTACTGGCTCCTCAGAGTAATTCATTGGACTTAAACTGGAAACTGGTCTGAACTCAAGCAATGGGCTAAAAAAAAAAAAAAAAAAAGCTTTTGAATGGACATGCTTATCAGAAGTATACCAATGGTTACAAAATGCAGTTACAAAATAAAAAAATAAAATTACTGGGAACAAGACATCTCTCCCTCTTCTCAAATGGGTTAGTTTTTGAACTGCTGTAAACACGTAAAGTAACATTTCTCTTTCATTAGTCTTTTGCATATGTTCCAAGTCAGAGTCAGAACTTTTGCATTTCCCATTTTTTTTACAGTTTGCTTTATTTACATTTCCTTAAAACCACTTTTGTGGCCCTTGGTTGGATTGCTCTGCCCCACTTTGGAAGCCTCTGCAAGCCAGTCGAACAAAAAATCAGCTTACCCAGTGCTGCTGGTGTATGCCTGCCCCAGCATGCAGTCTTCAGGAGGTGCTTCTGGGTTAAACCAAAAGTCAGCAAAGCATTTGCTAGCCTCTGACTTCAGAGATGCAGAGCGCTCAAACCCATAATCACTGAAAAACATCAACACCAAGTGTGTTACTATCACAACTTCATTCAGCAGTCTGATTTGGGGTGGATGAAACTACTTTTTTAAGAGTAAAAAGATTTTAAAAATATTATTCTACCAGCTGAACATACAAGTTGATGAAGCCACTTCTCTTCTAAGTCTAATTTCAGTGGGAGTACCGTATACCTGGGGGAAAAGCTGGTTGTAATTACTTTGTCAGTTCTGCAAAATTAACTCTCTTGGTAGCTTAGATTTTTAAAAGGTTTCCTTTGCCACTCAGACCAACACATTTCTTCTGTTTTTTTGCTTCATTTGCAAACAGAAGGGGTTTGCTTGCCTTATAAATCAATCCAATGGTCATTTTTCAAGTCTTGATCAATAGAGAAAAACAGCAGGATTTGTTCAGTCATGTGAAACAAATACTTAAAACATGGCAATGTTTTTAAACAAGAGCAAATACAAAAGCAACCCTTTATTCAAATTACAGGTTACCTATTTGTGTATACACGGCTATGTGGGGAGAGGGGCAAAAAGAGGAAAATAAACCCAGCTAAAACTTTAAGTAACTATTTACTAGCAATCAATCAAAAGGCCCACAGATAGACTCACCATAAGAAATCAGAGTTCACACATTCACAAACTTTGGATGTGAGAGCTGATGTGAAACTTCTCCCTTTAATGCACCACGATGAAATCTTCCTCTTCCGAAAGCTCCTCTGCTGGCCCATGATGCAACGATCACCCTGAATATCAAAGTACCAGACTTATTGCACACCGTAACCTACACCACACAGACGTGAACTTACACTGTCGTGAGAAAGGCTGGTCTTGCTGCCAAGACTATAAACTTGTATCAACACTTTCATATTTAAATGTATAGTATACAAAGCTCTCATAGCCACTGCCATCCACTAATGGGCCATTACAGAGTTGTAACATACACTACATTTCAGGGCACAAATCCAAAGATGTACATGAAAATTTCAAGTGCAATTTAACCCATGTTTCACGTGTGCACAATCTAGGCACAACCCTACAACTGGCCATTTAAAAATTCAGTGTGGATGTAGCTGGCTGAAGTTCTATCTAATTCACTGCCATATTTCAGTGGTCAACATGAAGCACCAACCATGTGGACATAGGTAGAATTAAGACTCTTTGAACACATTCCATTGGTAACTGGGCAGCTGCAGGTACTCTGTCAAAGTCATTTTGGTAGTTTCTAATTCCTGAAAGACATTTCAATGCCAATATCCCAAGATACTGTTATTTTTTAGGCTCAGATCTGCATAACATTCTTAGCAAATACACAGCATTACCAAACAAGAAGTATAAAATTAGGCATGAGTATTAGCAAATGAGAGATGAAGAGCTGGAATAACACAGAGTAGTATGCAAAAAACCCACCACCCAACCCTGCAGAGAGCGATAGAACAAATGTACTGGAAGAAGCACAAACATAATAATCAGAATTATTGTGAATAAATATGACATATTCCATTTAATGTAAAAAAACCCCATACACTGGTCTCTTTAATCAATACACTGTATAGACAATGTAGCTTCCCAAAACTGGATTTGGCCAGAGAACCAGGATTAGCACAGCCTTAATGCATTACTGCAGAAATGGTATTGCCCAAAACAACTGGACTTCATTACATGATCGGTCCACTGAGATCCTAAATTACTTCTGGAATGGGCTTTACTTATGGCAATTTATATATGAGTACAGTATGTGGTCAGGAAGTTGGCAGAACATATGACTGCATGTTTAAATTGCTTCAATCAATGTTACACACTTTAGTTTATGGTATACGCTTCACAATCCAGCAGGACCACCTATTATTATGGCAGACCATCAGATATACTTCTGCCCTTCCCGGGACACAGATCACATAACCAAAGGGAACACAAAATCCTCCTCCATTTTTAAACTATTCTAAAATCAGCAAATACCAATATAAGGGGATCAAAGCTGGGGATGTGGCATCCAAGTTCTATTTGGAAACGTTTTCCTAGCACACAGTTCTACACCAATCTGAAAGCTACGCAAAACTTCTGGCAGTTAACATAAGACCATGAATACCTGTAGATTTGTGAGCTCCCAAGATTCATAGTCATCATCAGTGCACTCCCGAGGGAAGGATGGTCTGAAATCCACCTTCACCAGTTCCCAGTCTGAACGGTAGCTAATATGTCCAAAGACACTGAACAAAAAGATAAAAAGTAAGATCTTACTGGAAAGAAATACCATACATCTGAGATTCAAATTTTCAGTTCTATCTTTTCCTTCCCATGGACATGGTTTCCTACATAAAGGTCCCTGGTTAATTTTTCTTCCCCTTATTCCTCTTCATATACAACATGTCTAGTTAGAAAACACTTGCTAATTGTCTATGGACCTCTACAATGAAAAACTATAACTCATAGATTAGAGATTTTTTCTTTCCTCAGCAAACTATCGGGAAACTTAAATGAAACTCTACTACCTTTTGTAATTTGGAACCCAACATTTTTGTCTATTATCTCATTATATGAAACATTTTTTGACAGGGAGCTCATATGAGGGGGCAGAACCCAGGATCACCGGGTTCAGTTTCCAGCTCTGTCACTCATTCCTTATGATTATGGTGCAATTTCTTCAGTTTTTTTAACTTCTACAGATTTCAGATGGCAATTTGCTATTGTTCAAACTCACAGCAGTACCATGAAATTGTACTCACTTCTAATGAATACACTGAATCTACACATTGTGCTGAAGAACTGTCAGTCTCCATTTCAGATAGTCCAATATATAACAAAATACTCCAATATATAACAAAAACCTCCGACAAACTGCAGATTTCTTTTAGGGAAAAAAAAAAAAAAACCACCACGGAAATCTCATTGCTTTAAAAATGAAGCTGCACTTTCAAAGCAGCCACCATTTTCAAAGTCAGAATATTTATTTCCAAAACAAAATGGGTAAGTATGACATCCAGCAACAAATTAGAAAGGATAAAGACTCTATTTGGGTAAAAGTCAAATGTATTTGTGGTTTGTATCAGGCTTATGTGGCTTACTTGCCAAAGAATTTAAGGTTGAGTCTGAAGCCAACAATTTCTGTGCAGTTCATATTGCACAGAGTTCATATTCCAAGCTTTAATAGCATTCTTCAAACTAATTCATTCCTTTTGTTTTGCCCTCAGTTTTGTCCAAATCCAGACACAGCAGGA